GTTGATTGCATTCAAATTAGTTACGAATTCATTCTACATTAATGGTTGAGGTTGTATTGTTTGGGGTCTTTCTAAAAAACTTCGAGGTGTGACCTATCAAGTTACAGTTGATGCAGACCATGCAATTTCCGGCATGGTGGAAATTGCAACTGGTATAGTGGGGTTAAATTTTTAGAGTCGGGTTTTGATGGGGTGGGAGTGTTTGTGATCGCTGTGTATAGAGCTACATGTTCTAGACTTGGTTTGCGATACTTGAAGTTCCTATTTAACTTGCCATGGAACTTCCTTTTGGTATTCCCATCCTGGTTCTTTTCTGTTTGTGAAGTCATGGTACCCTGAAGGATACACTGTTCAGTTAATTGCTCAGCATTATCAAAGGTAGTGGGCTTGGATTCAGTAACCAGACCTTGAACTGGTGAGGCCAATCCCCAAAAGTACCTTTCGGTCTCTTTGTATTCTGGGTTTCACCATTCACGGAAAAAAGTTTGCGAGGTCCTTAAATCAGGAGGTGTAAGCAATCATATCCAATCCTTTCATGGTAAGGTTCCATATTAGAGTGATCGATTCCAGAAATCCTATAGATTTCGAAATTATAGAGAGAGAGAATTGAAATCCTACCTATTTCAAATGATAGAGAGAGAAGTTTAGAGACTACTGAATGATTTATTAGGAACTATGGGTTTCTCTGCTATGATGGTAGCGGAGCTATTAGTTCTTTCTTCTTCTTTGGGTTTAAGTGAACTAGGAAAGTCTGAACGTTATCCCAACTTTTTAAGTATTTAAAATGTATATGTTAGTTTATATAAGGTTTCTATGGTACTAGGTTTCTGCAACGAATCTTGAGAACATCCTTCAATCCCTAAAAATTTCAACAATTGTAGTCTGTTAAACTCTTTTCTCAACGTTGGTTGTGCACCATCCTGACCATAAATAACATAGGGGTATATTCCAGGTTTATTTGGGGTATGACTTATGTATGGTACTAACCTTATTTGAGGCATTTGACCTAAAGGATTGAGTTGGTAGTTTAAGTTGGAGGTATGTTAGACTTTTATTAAGTGTTCTCATAGCAATTCAACGTATATATAACTCTTATATTGTAACAGCCCAAAATCTTAAGTATTGTTTAATAGCATTTTGGGGTGCTTTAAAGGGGGGGACTCGGCGAGTTGGAGCCAGACTCGCCGAGTAGGGTCGCAGTTGTGGTCGCGGGTTCGTGGCTAGACTCGACGAGTCCAGGTATGGACTCGGCGAGTCGACGCTGTTCAGCGGAAAACCCTAGCCGTTCAGTTTGGGACGTATATAAGGGATCTTATGCCGTCATTGCTCGTCTTTTGGCCGATTGAAGAGAACCCTAAACGACTGGGGCGTCTAGAGCAAGCTTGAAGGCCATGGGTGACCTTGAAGGAATTGTTGTGCAAGGAGGAGAAGGGTTCTAGTTAAAGGAACTGCAGGGAGTTCGAGTTCTGAAGTTTGGGGAACATGGAAGGTACATCATTCAGGTAATAACTCGGATTACATTCTCCTGTGATTGATGTGTATATAGATTTAGGGTCTATGGAACCCATTTGGAGTCTAGATGGTTTGTTGTGTTGTTATTCAACGTTTATAACCTTGCATTAGGACCCTTAGAGGTCCAGAAGGATCCATGTTTGTATATTCGGGAAAATATGTACCTCAGGAAGCAGTTCGATCGACTGCATGGCGTGGACTCGCCGAGTCGGATGGTCAGACTCGGCGAGTAGCTTGAAGATTCACTGGGACTCGCCGAGTTGTTCTTCAGACTCGGCGAGTGGAGTCGGGGTGGCCCCGCGATTCTTCCAGGAGTAACTCGTCGAGTCAAAGGGGATATTCGACGAGTAGAAGGGGAATTTTAGAGGATTGAAGAACGACCAGACTCGCCGAGTCCAGTCGAGCTGACAATGGACTGTTGACCAGAGATGACCGGTGTGATTTCTTAGGGTCAGTTAACGTGGAAGGTAGAAGTGTTAATAAGAGATATATGATGTTACAGGGAGCTTGTAGCTCGGAGGATCAAGCGCAAGGGACTTCAGGAGTTGCTATCTCCCAGCGTCCGTGAGGTGAGTCTTCTCACTATACTTCACCCGGAAGGGTTTGATTGTGTGACCGGAAGGTCAAGTATGTTATGTGTTATGTTTATATGCTATAAATGGAAAGTTAGCTGCTACGCGTGATATACATGTTTATATATGGGCCGGAAGGCAAAGTATTATGTGACAGAAAGGTCAGGTATGATATATGATATATGTGCTTTATGTGTTAGAGTATGTTACGGGCCGGAAGGCAGGTTGATATATGATATATGTGCTTTATGTGTTAGAGTATTTGTATTATGTGTTATATATGTGTATGGGCCGGAAGGCAATTATTTTATGGGCCGGAAGGCAATTATCTTATGGGCCGGAAGGCAATTATCTTATGGGCCGGAAGGCAAATATCTTATGGGCCGGAAGGCGATATTCTCATGGGCCGGAAGGCATTGTGCAGTGGACCGGAAGGTCAGGGCCTGGAAAGGCGTACGTGCGTAAGGTGTATATTGGGGAACTCACTAAGCTTCGTGCTTACGTTGTTTATGTTATGTTGTTTCAGGTTCTTACAGTAACGCGGGATGGCAACGGTTCGATTGTACACACCGAAGAAAGAGTTGTGTTTTGGAGGATCCTGGTCTTCTATTATAATGAAAATGAAACTATGTTTTGTAATTCGAATGTGAATAAGATTTTAAACAAGTGTTTTTAATATTAAATTGATTATTTAAATGAAAAATCTTGTCTTGAAAATCACGGTGTTACATATATATTATGGTCGGTGGAGTTTGTAGCATTATTAAAATTTGTTTTGTACTCCAAGACTACCAAGTACAGACGAGGTCTAGACAGGAAACACCGAAGGGTAGGACCATTTTGGCAATTAAGTTGTTCTGAAATCCAACAACCCTATGCGACCCTTCAAACTAGATTTCGCGTACCATAATTAGCCAAGAAGTAGTGTAATTAATAATAATAATACTTTTATTAGAAGCTAGTTGCTATAGTTGTATTCCACTTTCAAGGATACGAGTTATCTAAAGCCAATATAAATCTGATATCAATTTGTCACTCCCTCGGTCGAGGTGGTAGAACACGTCGGGCTGTACGACTAAGTTCGTGGATCACATGTAAATTGAATGTATAGTATAGGTACAACAATAAACAAAATAACATTTGTATTCTATCTTGATATTTGAATACAAGGTTTTTACAGATAATAATAGTACAAGAATTGTCTTAACAGGGTGACATATAATACAACAGCAAGTGAACCAGGTCACCTGTAATCCAATCTGTCTTTAATGTCTATTTAATGATTTACTAAGAATACATGCAATTTTGAGGGTCAACACAAGGTTGGTGAGACTTACAAGTTTTCTGCTAACAATTGTAATACTTTTAGAAAGTCTATAAAGTATTATCTTTGTATGTATAATAATAGTTAAAATTTTGTCTAAAAAGAGTCCTTGAAAGCCAAAATGTATATTTGTATAAGTACATCCATACTTAAAACCGTGTTTGTATAGAATCTTTGAATATACTTGAAAACCAAAATTTACTGTTACATAAGTAATTCCATACTTAAAATAGTTTTGAAAGCAACCAATTCGATGGTTTGTAGTGAGATAGATATATATATATATATATATATATATATATATATATATATATATATAGAGAGAGAGAGAGAGAGAGAGATTCCAGTTAATGTTTATAGTGAGTCCTATAACTGAGCTAACGTAATTGAATGTATCCCCTACAATGCTTCATTGGACGTAGTAGTAACAATTGTAGACACTTATTATTCGCTTCGATTGATCGGTCGAGGTTGTAGCTAGCAACTGTAGGTGGGGATGTCAACCCCGTATAGATCTATACATATTTATCTTGCTCCGAAGATTAACATTTATAGTAATGCGGGTATGCTAAGTGTTTAGACTCAGCCAATTAATATAGTCTCACTAAAAAGCCTTTAACTAAAGTATGTGAATAGCTCTCAGTCCTAACTTAATTGTTGTTAAGTCACTAAGCGTAATGAATTTCATTGTATAAAGTTTATAAAAGTCGAGTATGCTTGGTATGTATGTAAAAGTGTAATGTACTCGGTTTTATAAAGATCTATGTTTCAAAGTAATGAACATATGTACATGTATAAACTTTAAGTATTTAAACATATAAATAAACATGAATACAAATAGCTTAAATCTTTGAAATACTACAAAGTTTTATAACATGATTGTTATAATATACAATTCACATAAAAATCTTATATTTTTGTTTCATGTAGCATTTGTTGTGTAGACTAGTTATTTCACGATAAAATAACCGTAACACGTATATGGAATTTTATACTAGTTTGTTTCTAACAATATGTTACATTGTTAAATAACGTATTTATAAACTAGTCTTATTGTATTTTTGCATAAAAGGATAATATGTTTGTATAATTAAAGTATACAGGAACATGTATTCCTCCCGATATAATTAAAAATATTAAAAGTGGACTGTAAGCACTCACCCTTGAAGCATGAGTTTGATTTGTACAAAATCGGTTTATTTGAGAAATTTGTATTGAGAAACCGCAAAGCCATGATTCTTGAACTTTGAAATACTTTCGGCACCGTTTCTTAACAAATTTAAACTATTGGGCCTCTTTGGTAATTTAATTAACCAAAATAGGGCTGGCTTGGTTAAAATAAACAAAAGGAGGGACTGAAATGGTTTAAATTGAATTAATGTTTGAGTCTTGGACTGACATTGTTAAGAAATCTCCATGGGAGAGGTTATTTTGTTTTAAATAAACCTAAGTTTGTGGAAAAGTGTTTATTTGAAATGAGGGGGTTATTGGTCATTTTCTCAAAGTTTAAACGAATTAGGGCTTTTTACACCACGGTGTCATTTGTTCAATGAGTCGTAGGAATGAAGAACCCGAACGACTCACGAAGGCAGATGAACAAAGGCGTGAGAAGGAAGCACAAAGTGGTGGCGCTGTATTCGGGCCCTTGCTTGTCACAGGTCACGAAAAGGACCGAAGGAAGAAGAAGCTCACAGGCGGTTATTCCTGATGTCTTGGTCGATCGATCGCAAAGAGGGAGGCGTCTTCGAGGTTCGACGAGGCCGACGGGGAGGAAGGAAGAAGCAGCGAGGCTGCTATGGCCTCAGTGGGTGCAGCGAGGAGTGAAACAGGGTGAGCGATTCAATGGTTTTGGATCGAGGGTTCGGTGTGGCTAAAAAAAATTGCGAAGGGAAGGAGGCCAGAAAAGGGTCCGACGAGCAGTACGACGTCGCAGGTCGGGGATTCGGTGTCGTTTGCTTGACAGAAGAAGAAGAGATGTGCGAGAGGTTGGGCTGCTGTCTCGATGGTTCTCCGAAGCACCACCACAGCCGGTGGTTCATGACAGAGGATGAAGAAACAGGCAGAAAATCAAGGAAGAAAGGTAAGAAAAAAAATTCTTGCTTTGTTTTAATTAACAGCAAAGGAAATGGGAAAAAGAAAAAATGCCATTCTCTTGACTAAAATTTCTTGGATAATGTTTGGTTGATTCATTTGACAGGGAAAGAAAAGGAATCGGGGAAAAGAGGTGAAGAAGATGACGAATTCAAGAGTGTTTGTGGGTTTTGATGTTTCATTTGACAGCTTCAATCGAGAGAGTCAACACGTATCCTTTGTGTGTGATTTAATATTTCTTTTGTTTGTGATTTACTATAAGCTGAAAGTTAGAAGCAACACTATAATTTATTCTCTATTATGGCGTGCAAGCAATAAAATATTTTGAACATTTTTTCATCATACTTCATGTAATTTGAGTTCAAGATAACAAGTTATGTATGCGGGCTTTGGGTAATTTTTTAAGAATTGTATAAGTAAATAAGAGGGTGTTTGGATTAACTTATTAGTTTATTGTTTCTCAGTTTATTTGTGGTGGAAATAAACAATAAACAAAGGGGGAGATGCATATTAAAATTAACTTATTTAGCTTATTTCTAACACAATAAGTTGGTTTTTAAGAATTTTATCAAAACACTTAAACTTCGCATATTGTGGTGGGAATAAACAATAAGTAATAAACACCATTTTTTTCCTATCCAAACACCCCCTAAGTATGTATTTTGTATATTGATTGGTATGGATGTATAGAATGTGTAATATCTTTTTTTGTTGCTGCTTAGATAATCTTATTTGTACCACAAAGTCAATTATAAAAACATTGCATTAGTTATACACACAAGTAAAGGTATGAGTGCTAAATTCATATGTATGTTAAATCTTGGAGCTTGGAAATCATATATGACTACTTATATATAAGTTCTCATATATAATATTATTGAAATGTCACAATTATTATTATTATTATTATTATATATATATATATATATATATATATATATATATATATATATATATAGAATTTATGTTCATTCGACAAATAAATTATTGTATGGTTTATAAAATTTATAATAACTTATATATAGTTGATGACAAGTTATTAGTTATGTATCACTAGAAGGGGTTATACTTGAAAATAAAAATATATTGTTATATCTATCGTTAAAACTCACATTTGTTGGATTGGATAATAATATATTATTTCCACAATATATTGCCAGTAAATGAAATCATATCGAAATCAATAGTTTAAGGTTTTGCGATTTACTGATTTTAAAAATGTCTGATTTTTCGACTTTTATAAATGTTTTTACTAAAAATATTGCAAATATGGAATTAAATATTAGACTATGACATGAGTCCAAAAGCACTCTTGAAATTTCCATCTGAGGTGTGCAAGTTCCTCAACAGATAGAAATTATTTTAGCAGTTTTTAGAAAATCAATATTATATTGGTTTGAATTATTAAAACGGTCGTATCTTTCTCATATGAACTCCGTTTTGGACGTTCTTTATATTTGTGTAAATAGGGAAACATGTACTACGATGCTAGAATGTTTGCTTTGCTCACAACTACTTACTACGAAACTTCATTTTTTTAGACGTATTGTTAGGGTTGTAGTTAAGCTGTTTGATTTGTTTTCCAGATAACATATTTGGAAGTAAGATACCATATGGTACCTATAATAGTTGAAATGAACTAATTTAAGTTAGAAAAGAAGCACTAAAACTCAATGAATCAAATTACAAAGAGATTTATTGTGAACTTGACCGTTCACAGTCGTTGACATAAATTTTAGGATGTCACACATGGATTCTATCTGCTCGGGGTATCAGCAAGATAAGGTAGGATTGGAAGGATTTCATGTGGGTCAGTTTATATGGTGAGGCCATATTGACTGTGTTACGGAATAGTTCTGCCTATGTGGAGGCCATGCAAGATTTTGGATTGTTTAGATTCTGGTAAAAGAATGATGGTTATTCTTCCTTGTTGGAAGTTAGTGGGTTAATGACTTGTTCTCCATCAGGTGTGTAAGTCCTACTAAGGTTGGGTTTCGATGGTAACATTGGAAGGTTACTATGTGAGCGAGTCAACATTTAGGCGAAGCGGGGTTCGAAAAGAATTTGTCAGACCATCTGGCTACCTAGAAGGCATAAAAGAGTTATTTTGAGGACGAAATCCAGTTTAAGTGGGGGAGAGTTGTAACATCTGGTTTTGAGAAGCTTCTTATTTCGAGAATTATGGACATTAATGGATCAATATAGGGCCCTGGAATTCAAAGGGTTGGATTTTGGACCCAACTGAGTGTGGATTATAAATGTTGTGTGATCCTAGCTTTCGGTTTGCGTTTTGGGAGTCCAAGGGTGTAATGGTAAAATTGATGCTTCAGGACTATATAGAATTAAGGATTCTAGTTTGTAAGGATTCAAGTCAATGGAGACTTGACGGGATTGTAGGGCTTTTCATTATCTTTCCGAGCATATAAAGAATGCCGAACCGAGAATTGGGAGACAGAAGTTATGTCCTTCGAAAGTTTATATGGGAAAGGGGTTTCTAGTACGTTGGGCGTACGATGAGTAAAAAACCTTAACTCTTTTTAAACCCTTCTTACCTTCATCCTCATCCTCTCTGACCCTATATTCGAAACCTTAGCCCCATTGGTAAAGATCCTTGAGCTTTTGAGTGTTTTGGAGTGTTCTTGGTGCATCTTGGAGAAGAAGGAGCTCATTGGAGAAGATTTGGTTGTGTTGAAGATTATAGATCGAAACCTTGTTCACCTTGATCTTGCTTCTGGAGGTATAAAGCTTCAAACTTGATGGTTCTTTTTGTAGATATAGTTTTGGGATATAATTCCATGTTTTGGTCCCATGGGTTTGGTTGTTATGAGTAAAAGCTACTTCATAGCTTGAGGGTGTCATTTCTTGTTAAATCTGAGGTTCGTGTAGCATAAAAATCAGAGCTTGATGAGTATAATTCAACCATGCATGAGTTAGTGGCCTTTTTGTTAAAGTTATGAACTTAGGACTTTGGTTTAGACACCATTAAGCCATGCAAAGTCATAAAGTCAGGAACTTTATGACTTAAGATGTCCCTTAGAGTTAGATCTGGAAATTAGATGACTTGGTCTTAAGAATTAAGAGATTTTAAGTTGAGGTTGGTCAGCAGGGTCATACGTTGGGCATACTGGGGAGGTACGTGGGGCCTACTCACCAGGAAGTGGTTATGGACGATTTATGGGCCTTGGGTTATTTGGGTTTTGGTCCATGGATTGTTGGGTTAGATATGGGAAGGGTAAAATGGTCTTTAACCCTTAGCATGATAGAATAAGAGTTAGACCTTGATTTTGGGTTATTACCCTGATTATTGATTACAAATGATTTTGAATATGTTCAGTGTGAGGAGCATGGTAGCAACAGTATGTGTGTGTGCATGTTTTGGTTATCTCGGATTGAAATGAGTCTGCTCACTTTACTCGTTGGACGAAGGCACCAATTCCCACCAACTAGGATATGTTATGTAGGATGCTAGCGGTCTTTGTGACTCTTGCATTATATGATGGGCTGGGCCCAATGGCATGCAACTAGGGCTGGGCGTAACTGCATGAGTGGGATGGGTACATTATATGTTAGGCTAGGCCTAATTGTATGTTGGGTTGGGGCCATTGATTAGGAAGGGCTAGGCCCATTATTATGGGTTAGGCCCAATGTGCGGGTTGTGCCCAATAATATGTATGGTATGCGGCATTTTGGGAAACTCACTAAGCTTTGTTCTTACAATTTCATGTTTATGTATTTAGGTACTTCTAATTCGAAATGGAAGGGTCCGATGTGACTGCACAACATCCCCCATAGTTTATGTCGCATTTGATTAATCATGATTTTTAATCTGATGTTTAATTACTATTTTTCACATTGAATGATTTTGGAAATGGAATTTTATATGAATTAATGTTAAAAAAAATGAAAATTTTTCTGCTTTTTGGAATGTTACAATTAGAGTATTATCAAATAACAAGTATGAAATTTCTTGTTGATGCAATACAATCATGTCGAGCCCTTGCCTTTTGAACTAGAAGTACCTAAAAAAGTTAAACCACAAAATCGCAAGCACAAAGCATACAAATGGGCCCAGCCCAACATAAACATGAAAGAGTCACAAAGACAACTAACACAATCCAATGGTCTGACATTAGTGCCTTTAACCCATGAGTATAGTGAGAAGACTCGCCTCAATCCGATGTCAACCAAACGAATCTGTCACACCCCGGCCGTCGGCGGAAACACCGGGCAGTGTAACGTCATTTCTCTTATCATAGTTATCAACATCCTGAAAACACATGCAATTTAAAATACGTCAACATAAAATTGGTGAGTCCACAAGTTTTGACTCCATATAAAAATAATACATTTTCCAAGCTCAAAAGTATAGTTTTGAAAGTATTATTTTGACTTTCCAACGTTTAGTGTGTATATATATATATATATATATATATATATATATATATATATATATATATATATATATCCTAGGTATAATGGTTTACTTACCAAATAAGTGTTATACCTAAACATTCTTTGAACCTAGAGTATAAGTATAAATGTTTGTAATTCCATACAAACTAAGTTGCTACGTATAAATCTATTTCAATTCTATACGAGTAAAACCGTTACGTATAAATTTATTTCAATTCTATACGAGTAAGTAGGATAGGTATAGTGTAACGACCCAATTTTTTTCGTCAGAAAATTTCATTTTTAAGATATTACTTTAGAAAACATTAATAAATAAAAACATTGTCTAAATAAAAAGAAACAGTGTTTGTTCACACCATAACACATTGCAACCATGTTCTCAAAAGCCAAACCGTACATCCCATCAAAATATCAGAGTACAATCCCAGTAAATCTCATAAATGCGGAACCGAAGAGTGTGTGTATGACGTGCCGCTACCGCGCCGGCTCCTTCCCCTTCGATGCAGAGGTACCTGAAAACAAAACTGTAAACGTAAGCACAGAGCTTAGTGAGTTCCCCCAACGTACCGCATACCATACAAACACATAACATATATACTGCCAGGCTATTCTGGGGTGCCTGACTACCCGGTACGGCCATTCTGGGGTGCCGACCTACCCATACGGCCATTCTGGGGTGCCGTCTTACCCGTGTCAAGCCATTCTGGGGTGCTGACTACCCATCGGTCCTAACAACCGATCCTCGGGGACTATTTCACCCCTACTACTACGATCACATATAACATAACAAGCCAGCATGCATACATATCATCACATACTGTCAGACGTATCTGGGGTGTCTGACTACCCTTCGGTCCGAACAACCAAACTCTACTACTATCACATACAGCATATCATGCTAGCATATAACATGTCAGGTAATAGCGAACTTAGATGATATCACAAAGACAATCATCTATCATACAACTCCTACTGGTGGGTCGGCATTGTGGCCTTAGACCCACCGCTACTGGAAGGTAACTCACCTCAAAGTAGCTGCTGAACTGATCGGGAACTAACTGACTGCTGCTGCTCCGGGAG